TGGTCGGGATTTTCCTATGATAGGATGATTGATATCCCACACGCTTCGTTAGCCGCGTTACGTCCTGTCCCTGAAATTTTCCATTGCCCTGGCTAAGGAGGAAAAATAACTTTTCCCTGTTTTTAAACGACCTTGTGGCATATTATCCGCTTCCTTCTAAAAAGGAAGAGACAATATCTTCTCTCTGTAATCACATGATGTATTTATGGAGTGGGGCGAACCTATTCATTTTATCATTTCTTTATTGACCTGGAAATAGATAATATTATTTTGGTAGACGGATTCTTACGAATTTAAGGAACTCTATCCTAAATACATAAAATAACATTAATTTTATTCATAAATTCAATTTTAATATTTTATAGATGTGATATTTTTATCACTAAAAGATTTCTTTTAACACCTTTGTATTTGAATGCAATCTATCTGTGGCAATTCCTATTTATCAGTTAAATATAAATGTACATATATGGGGACAATTAGAAAAAATTGTTTCGATTTATTTCCCACATCAAGATTTTTTTCTCTTTGTACTCTTTTTAATTTGTCTTTCATTTATCACTCTGTGAGCATTCTCCACTTTATATATGTTGTTTCAGTTTCTCCTCGATTCTTGAAATTCATAAAAAAAAAAAAAAAAAATCGATAAGAAGTCTTTCCTAACAGCATACGTATTACAACGAAAGTTCCTTTGTTTAAATCATTTCTGAATGTCAGATTTAAAATAGGAAAAAAAGTTATTTAAAATAGCATTAAAAATCTTTATAAAATGCATACCGTAAAATAATATGATAATGTTTTATATCTTGGGTAACTTTGATCCAATATAGAAAATTTGATGCTCTACAACTTTGATTCAATGAATTTTTCCTCTTAAGAAACTCATTTTCAAGTAACAGGGCCATTTATAGTAATTTGTCTCTGTTTTTGACAAATTTGGTAAAAATCAGCGTTGGTTGACCGTGGTTTCATACCTTAGCGCGTAACCAAATTATAAAGTTTATGTATTCGTTTGACGCAAAATTTAACTTTCTTTAATTTATTTAAGTATACATTTTTCGCTTTGATGCATCGTTTAGGAGTTATAGGTGAAAAAAAACAAAAACATACCGAAAAAATCTGACGTTTTTGGTTGTAAAAAGTTTTCCCCTGGTAGTTTTTTTACAAAAAGTTTTTACATGCCTAAACCCATATATACAAGTTAAAAAAATAAAAACTTTTCTCTCATTTTTCGAAATAAATTTCCCGTTTCGATCCTCAAGTTACTGGCCTAATATCCTTTAAATCAGCCGCCATTTTTTAAAGGAGCGGTTCTGGAACGGCAGACAATTTTTTTTTACTCAGAATAACATACACTTAAGTAATTTACAATCAAACCTTCGCCTGCTGGCTCCAGGTCTATCATGCTTAGCAGCTAACATGTTAATTTAATTTTTTTTTAACTCAAATTTTGGCGACGCCTACCTCTTCTCCGCGAAGTCTGCGCCTATGGCGTGGGATAAATTTCAGTTAGATCAATGATACTTTTACGAGTATTGTTTCCTTCACTCCATGTATTTGGGGTGATTATTCCCGGGAGAATTTAGAAAGGTAGCTATGAGTAGGATAAGAAAGGAGACGTATAAGAAAATGTTCTCCATCGTGAAAGGTGTTGCCGGAACGTAGTCCGTTAACTGTAACTGGAACCTTTCTCCAGGCTTAGCTAGTTGTTACTGCGGGTGTTCGTTCATTAGTGTCCAGTGTTAGCGGTACCTCCATGTGTTAAGCTCCAACGCATAAGCGCAGACTTTCCATTTTGATTGGGAGGGGGCGATGGACCAAAAAAAAAATGAATATATGTCGGTAGTTCATATTATGTGTACAAATTTAACATAATTATTGTGAATCAAACAAATATAATATTGAATATTTGAAAATAAATTTTTATATATATATATATATATATATATATTAGAATATTATACAGTTTCTGGCGGTCAATAGAATCGTAAGCCTTTTTAAAATCTATATACAGCTGGTGAACAATACCATTGTACTCGATTTTTTCTCTAATATTTGCCATAAAGAAAATATTTGATCAATAGTCGAACGATTCCGTCTAAATCCGCATTGGTAGTCTCCGATAATTTTATATTATTATATATATATATATATATATATATATATATATACACACATATATTTAGACAGTTGTAGATTATTTTTTTTGATAAACTTGAAAATATCTGAATAAAACAATTGGATATATTACAATTTTGTATGCATTAAACATGAGAGGAAGGGGGGCAGTCTCCATAACATTTCTAGAACTTTTTCAGCTAAAAAGAATAATCTTGAAAACTGAAAATACTTTTGATTTCTTAATTTTTACAACCTCCAAATAAAAATAAAAAGTTTTCACAGTTTGACTATGTAAAAATGTGAATAAAAAAATTCTCTCTAAAATTTATTTGTACTTGTACTTATTGAATATATGTTTCCCAACTTTATTGCAGAAAACTTATAAGAAAATCATGTTAAAATGGAGGTGTCCACATGAAAAGTGAAGCAATCATAAAATCCAAGGATATGTTTCTAATTTATTGATGCTGAATCTGAATGAAAATTAAAATAATAGGAGTATTTAGGTCATGATAAAATAGTTATGTACCTACTTAAAGGGTTTAGCTTAGTCAATTTTTCTTATTGCCTTAATCGGTTTTAGTTTAAATTTTTTATTCATTCTAGTAGTATGCTTGTCTTAAATTTTATTTTATTTTTTTTTTACTTCAAATTATTGGGGAGGGGAAAATATAATTTCGCCACCTTAACATTAGGGGGAGGGGGAATCGCTTCCCTTGCTTCCTCCACTCACCCTCCCCCCGAAGTCTGCGCCTATGCTCCTTTTCTATGACTACAAATATGTCATTGGTTTTATTTCAAGAGTATGTCCTTCTGCTTAATACCTACATTTTTTTTATTTATCTTCCCTCCGATTTTATATAAAACCAATTATTGGATTCAGGCTACAAACTATAGTATTAGTTTTGTTCCTTAATACTTAATGTAATATATAAATATCGTTAATATATTTATACTTAATATATAAATGTAATATATTAATAAATTATCTTATATTACATTTCTTCCCAAGTGGCTGGGAAACTACGATCTAAACAACAATTATTTAACTTCTCTAATTATTTGTAATGAGATCAGGAATTAATTTAAACCAGAGATTTTATTTTTACCGCTTCAGTAACTAAACAAAATTACTGGCAAATCAATAACTGGGATTACCAGACACATTGACTGAGTGGACACTGTCACAATTCATTACTTATATCGTTACTTCTTCCCTCTAATAATATAAATTGATCCGCCAGGACTCCTAAGCTTCTATATAATGAGATTTTTATATTCAGATATATATATATGTATGTATGTATAAAACTAGAACCTATAACATTACCCGAATAATAATACAAATAACAAAATGTCAAAATTTCATGAATTCTTTATGGAAAATTTAAAATAAAATTAGAATTGATTTGAGTGTATGTGACCACAAATATGCCATTGGTTTTATTTTAAGAGTACTTCCTACTGCTTAATACCTACATTTGCTTGATTTATCTTCCCTCCGATTTCATGTAAAACCAATTTCACAATCTCGAATAATGCAATTATCATTCTTGTATCTGGCGAAAAAACTTTGTGTTCTCGTCTAGAGTAAATGTTTTTATTTTACACTAATGCAAGAGATCAAAAAGTATTTGAATATTTCTTCAGTGGGCATTTATTTGAAAAAGATATTGGTATCATAATTAATATTTATTTGAATTTGTCTGGTTTTAACTCATCATTAAATTTTATAAAAGTTTGTCTCTTAAAAATGTCAATCTTAAGAGAAGTGTGATTTTTCATATTTGACTATTTTTTAACTCAAGCCTAATAATTGGACCTTCACATCCTTCTCTGCATAACAATCACATTCCACATTTTAAAAATATTGACTTTTCCTGTTACTAGTAAACAATAGACCTTGACAATGAACAGCTTACAACAATAACACTCTCAATAACTAGCTATTCAATTTAAACATTTTTTTTACAAAACTTCAGAATATTCTATGAGTTTATGTTGAATAAATACAACCAAGGCCAGTGAATAGATTACCAAAGTATATACCTAAACAAAAACTCTTTTACATAAATATATACATTTCAATTGAAACCCAAATTTTTTTCTATGTAAGCCAAATATTATCCATGAGTAAAACTTATTTCTAAATTTTAAATCTCTAGATCTTCAATACCACTTGATTAAAAATTGATAAATGATAAAGTCACCAAACTTGGTAGGATTGGAGACCCTTGCCTTATGTGTTTCATTATTGAATTTTTCATATAAAAAAGAGATATGTTATAACAAACATATTGACGGTTGACCATATGGTCTCTAGGAAAATGGTTAAGAATAACATACAAAATAGTCAGAACTATTTATTAAATGCTGACGTTTCAACCCATATTGTATGTCTTTATCAGTTTTGAACAGTCAAGAAAAAATATATTGGTTCGTTAAATTTTAATTTTAATTACATAATTTATTAATTATTATTTATTATTAAGTATGTGGAGATAATTATCAATAGTTAATTAAGATTTTAATGTAATAATTAAATGTTATATTTTATTGCCAAATTTTAAAACATCTTTTAAAAGAATATTTTATATTAATATTTTTTATATTGTTGTATTTTCTAATTTAAAATTTAAATTTATAATTTAATGACTTTGAATAATGATGACACTTTTAAATAATAAATAAAGGTATACAATAGAATTTCCACAATTATAGAAATGATAATTTTACTTATAAATATATTTTCATATTTACTAAACATTTTATAAGTTTTCGTTCGCCATTTCTCAGAATCAAACTGTTCTCTTTCTCTTGTCCTGTTAGTTTAAAATGTGATTCAATAACTGACACTTCTTTATTATATTTTTTTTCAGCACTTGTATCAATAGCAGCTGCAGGATTATTTGCTCTACAGACTGATGACAGAGAAAATGATTTCTTTGTATCCAGAGGTGAATCATTTTACATGCAGGTAACTTAATGTTTTCAGTCTTCCTCATTATATTATAAGCATTTAAAATTATATTATAACAACAGATCTGAGTAAACACCATTTTTCTCTTACTCTAAGCTCAAAATGTAATTTCTTCTAATTAAATATGTTTGAGCTTTATTCAGATTAGCAGTAATGACCATTCAAATTTAAGTTATTGATCATAATGGTTTCGCCCTATATGATCCCAATCCACCAAAATACAATTTTACTCATACAGTTATCAAACAGGCTTCAAAAGTTATTATACAAATTAATAAATCAATTGAAAGAGTAGGTGTCTTATTTTTTGAAGATTTGTCAAGAAGAACCATAACTAAATTCCATTGTTGATTTATATATAAACACTTTTAAAGCAATATATAAAATGAAGTGCCAAAATATTGTCATAGACACTACTTAAGAAAGAATGCAGAAATAGCTTTACGAGTCTTAAAAATAATAATGTCATAAAGAATATTATTCATTTTTCTTTACCATGGAAGTTTTCAAATCATTTCATTATTCAAAATTGGTACAATTAATTAAACTCAGAATATAAGTATGTTAATACTCTTATTTAGTTGTATGATTAATTTGAAATAATATTTTTTTTTATAATTATTAAAATAATTATTATTCATTTAAAAATTAAAATTAAAATGAACAATTTTATTCAATTATCAACATCATAAAGAAATATTAAATATTTGATGAGCATATTTTGTGATTGTAAATTCAAACATTATGGTTCATAAAAGAAAAAAAAAATGCATTTATTGAATACTTTGATTTATTTATTATTTATAAATTCAAAGATTATGATTATAATTTCTAAAATAAACATGAAAAAATATAAAAGTACACATTTATTATGAATAGAACAATTTACTTAATGGTTTTCCTTTAACGACCTACATAACTTATTCATTTAACGATAAAAATGTTTATCAAAAACAAAACCATTCAGACATCGCCCTGATTATTCAATTTAAAATTCATTTCAGTAAATATGGGTATTTCCAGAATGTAGGTAGGAAAGATATTGAATGTTACTTTTGCAAAAACAATTAATTTTCAAGCCAATTTACAAAATAAGAAACATTTCATCTTACTTTTTTTTTATTACATTAAAAACACCAGTGTATAAATTAATTATGTCTATATAAACTATATGTATTGTACTATATGAATTAAAATTGAAAATATATTGATTAATAATCCTGGGTTCGAATCCGGCTAATGGCAGATAAAGTATTTATTCTGTTTCATCAATCGTGGATCGACCCAGGGATCGGGGGATCCTCTGGGGGCACACCCAGCCTCTATAAATCTAGTACTCTTAATCAATTAATTAAGTGGAAAACCTGGCAGTTTATCTTGGCCAAATCATCTCCTTGCACAACAGTTGACTAAGAAACAGTACTTTCCCTAAATATTATTGAACCTAAGAACATTCATTGGTTGTAGTAGTACAGGTTAGGTTAGGTTATTGATTAATGAGATATTAAATATTAATATTTGATGAATTGTGTAAGGAAAATCATTTAATTAAAAAATGGCTCACTAAAAACTTCAATAAACCATACAAGTTATAATTATATTATATTACTGATAATAAATTGATGATGGAGCTAATTTTTGTAAGACATTCTAACCCTCATTCCGCTCCTTCCCCATAATTTTCTAAGTACTGCAGCTAATGTATGTATGGATTTAAGTTACAAGAATATAACTGTCATATTTTTTGGATAAAAACAGGAATTGATATCTAAGGCATATGAGAAAAGAAATATGAAATATTCAAACATACTACCATGACCCCTATGGAATTTTATAGCAGTAGTTGCCGAAATTTTAATAATATAGAATATTTTGATGTTTGAAATTTAATTAAAATTAAATCTTTGATATAGGATGTAACTGATATTTCTATTTTTCATTTTTCATTATTACTATTGTTCTTTTTAGCTTGTCGTAATAGTACTGACATTTATTCTATTTGTAATGTCAATATATGATGTACTATTCTCAAGACGTATGGATGGTGATCCTACTATGGCTCATCGAGACCCTTCTGGAGAAAATGCTACTACTTATAACAATCCTGGTTTCAAGGAAAGGAAGCAAGGTCAGCGCAGTTTTATTTAAATTTATTCAAACTATTTAGTTTTATCTAAATTATTGGTATACAAATAAAGGAATCAATTATGAATGAATAAATTCAATCATTTGATAGCTCATGAATTAATTGTTCTACAAAGTGGAAATTCAATGTATATACTACTTATGTTGAAATTAATACATTTCGTATAACTATGGCACAATAGTCATTCTAATTTTAGCTTCTTTTTTTAAATAATTGATTGCAATAAAAATAAATAGTTTTCTATTTATTCAAGAAACTTTTCATTTATGAAATGAAAATTTTGACTGGAAAGGTATGGTGAATTTCAGAAATCCTTAAATAAATATATTTTTTAACTCCTCTATTCTTCACCATTAAGGATATTATTTCTCTATCCATAACATTGGAGTCTTCATTTTCTCGGAAGACTACATTGGGCTGTAATTCCCAAGTTATTATCCCCTCTCCAGGTAAGTGCAGCCCATATACCTAATGATGGCAATTCACACTGCAATCTTATTCCAGAATTGTGATGTATTTCTTCATAAAGATAAGGTAGTAAACACCTGAAGATTTAAGTTCATGTTTGGAATTTAAGTATCAAAAAACATTGATGTATTTTGAATCAATATTTTTTCAATTATATCACAATAGTAATTTGATATTTCAAAAAAATAGTATGAGAAGAGTAGGGATTTATAACCATAACATCAATAATTGTTAGATATACCAAAATATCAATAAAAAATATCGACATTTTAATGTTTCAATCTTTGCGAGAAGAAAGGTCTATCTCAAAGTAATGATGTTTCATCTGAACGCCTGGTACAAAACGACTGAATTAAAGATCAACTTCGGGAAGACCAAATACATGACCATACTAGCGGATCCAGGATTTAGTTTTGGGGGGCTTCAGACTGAAAGATTTTTTTAAAAAAAATATATCGATAATTATTTGAAAAGATAAAGAAAGGAACTAACTACCTATATGAAATAGAGTTTAAGTAATTCTTTAAGTACTATTAAATGTAATTACACGAATAATAATACTTTGAGAAGTTATTATTAACTATTTTTTCATAAGACATGGTTATATTCTACCATTTTGGGGGGGCTTCAGCTCGAAAGCCCTCTCTTCCCCCATTAATCTGCCTTTGCATGATCATAGGCAATACGAATACTGGAGCACTTCTAGTGGACAAGGATACCTGTAAAAAAGTTAATGTTTTCAAGTACCTGCGCTCTTATCTCAACACTACAGGATCGTCTGAACATGACATCATGAGGAAGGTGAAGCAAGCCTGTAAGGCTACCCGAATCCTACATCCAGTTCTCTGGAACAAGCAGCTTTCCACCGAGAACAAGCGTAGAATATTCATAGCCACAGTGGAAGCTATTTTTACATATGCCTCAGAAACATGGCCTATGAACTCTGGTTTGTACTCAAAGGTGCAGGTGGTCGAGATGGATTACTGGGGAAGGTGTTTCCGTCTTACCATACTGGATAAAATTAAGAATGAGATAGTTTGACAGAGAATGGATGTGGGTACAGCAGTTAATGAAAATATTGGGGCACGTTGCCTAAGATGGTATGAGCATGTTTGCCGAGCCGAGTCCTGGTTTGGGTTCCGCCAGGAAAGAGAGGACCTCAATTGCCCAGAAGCAGGTGGATGCAGGAGATCCTTTTGGATACTTCATGGAAATGATGGGTCAAGGTCTGGAGGAAGATGATAGGCGAGATAGAAGCCCGAGGAGCTCTGCGCTGACAATGTGAGGCAATCCTTAGAAGGAACGCCTATAAGTAAAGTAAAAAAATCTTTGAAAGAAGGTGAACCAGATTAGCAATGAATCTTAGCCTTGGAATAATAATAGCTTTAATAGTAATGATTTAATATTTATATATTGCTTAATATAAAGGGAATATTAATAAATTATAATTTTTTTTTGACAAATTTTGCCAACAAAAATTCTTATTTTCAAGAGCCAGAAAAAAAATCAAATAAATTGTTTAAACATAAAAAAATAATAATGATGACGAAAAGGATGGAAGAAAACCACCATCAAATGAATTATTAGAAAACTCTAAAAGTATTAACAAATATTATTAAAAAGACTTATTCTAACAAATAGAAAAAATTAATTACATTGGTCAACATGAAAAATGGCTGTAATAGTGATAATGAGATCTATAAATTATATTTTCTTTATAAACATTAAAAAAGTATAATAAAGATATTTTTCAGGTATTTGGTTTAAAAATAATCTCATTTTTATGTGTTCATTGCCAAAGTAGTTTCCATTGCACATATTTTTAATTTTATGTTTTTTTTATGTTTGGTTTTTGGTATTAAAATTTAAATATCAATTTTTATATTGATATAGAGGAATATATAGGACAAAAATATTAATATATATATATATATTTTAAAATATTGCTATTTTTTCAACATCCATAATTCATGGATGGTCTGTCTCAGAGAAGGAAAGGGTAGAAACAATTTTATGACCTCGGAGGGGATTTAATTTTTTTTTCACATGTCTAACTAAATAATTACGAAAACTATTTCTTATGTATTACATTTTTTTCCTTTAATAAGTAATTGTTTGATCTTAATTTTACAGGGACTGTATCTATGACTGATGCAAGTGGAAAACCATACGTCCACAATGGTAGTATGGCAACACTTTCGACCACATTAAGTTCAAATGGATCCACAGTTGGATCTATAACAAGGAGTCCATTGAGATCTTCACTCAAAAAGCCACGAACTGGAAATAATGGCCTGGGTATTCAGAATCCAGGATTCAGTGGTAGCTCTCCGACTCCATCCAGAAACGGAAGTGTCAAAAGGGTTCGAATACAAACTAATAGTACAGCTGTATAGCCAGTGTAGGAGTGCCAAATATGCAGCACTGTATCAAAAGTATTTTGTATATACATAAATATCTGTGGTAGTGAATATTTCTTTGAACTACTTGGTGCATGAAACTTCCTTTTTACATCATATTTCTGATAATCATTACTAGTTATGATAGGAAAAAACAAATCCTCATAAAGCATAACTAGGTACTTTGTGAACATTGTTTGATTCCAAATAAGAGCAGTTTCATTTTTTTTCTGCAGTTATAATATCATATTTTCTTATTTCAATTTAGAATGGACAACAGTTTTAGAGGCTTGCTAATTTTGAGCCACTTAAACAAGATTAAAAAAAATTCTGATCAAAAATGATTAAATGCTTCTCTATAGAATATTTTCTAATAAAAACTGTGTATTTATATTAAAGGGATCAATGAACTTTTCTTTTAAAAAGCTAATATTTGTATCCAAGCCTCCATTAATTCACAATCAAAGACTGGCTATAATCATTTAAACAATTATTTATTACTATTATATTTTTCCAATGACATGTTTTAAGTATGATGGTTAAAAAGGAAAGTTTTTATGTTGCAATATTAATAATTTAGTGTAGAATTTTAAAAATGCACTTAGTCTTTGTATTATATTCTGTTTATAATAAATTAATATCAAAAACTATATTTACAACTGTTAGTTTATCTCAGATTATCTGTGATTAAATTAAAAATCGAGTACTGTAGTTTGCTTACTTAAAGTCTGTATTTGTAAAATAAATAAATGAAGATGGTATTTCTTAAAATGTTTGTTATTGTAAGATTTAATTCTTACAATGTATTTGTAAAATAAATAAATGAAGATGGTATTTCAAAAAAGGTTTGTTATTGTAAGATTTAATTCTTACAATGTATTTATAAAATAAATAAATGAAGATGGTATTTCAAAAAATGTTTGTTATTGTAAGATTTAATTCTTACAATGAAGAAAACTATTTAAATAATGCTGCTAAGTATTTTAATTATTTAAAGTTATACTAAGACAATTTGAAATACAAAAAATTATGAAAAAAATATTCAAATCTTTCTTCCAAGATATTTCTGAAGATTATACCCTCAAAGAATGCTTTTTTATAAAGGATTAGATTCAATTTATGTTACATTGTTATAATCTTTGATTGATATGTTTATTTTTCTTATTCAAACTGGCTGTTCTAAACAGGTCAATTTGATAATTTATATGTTATTTGTCAATAAAATCTAAAATAATAAGATGAACTTTGGTAAAAATTCCAATATCTTAATGGAAAATTCTATTCATTTACATTCAAAAATTCTATTAATATAATTACACACTAACCAAATGTCAATACAACCTATTTTAGTATGTTTCAAAATTTAATTATTTAATATTCTCTGAGTATATTCCAAATTTAATATAAATTTATCTGAGACCAAAAAATGTGCTGAAAATATATCATAACCATTTGAGTAAAAGTCACCAAATCAAAAATTCACCAAGTTCATTTCTCCATTTAGTTAACCAAGCATTATTTTCACCTAGCTAACATCACTAAGTCATTTAATACCTTATTTGGAAGAACTTTGATAAAATCAAGAAAGCTACATACATCTTTTGTATTTGAATCATTGAACGCTGTGGAATTTTCGAAAATTGTTAACATACTACCAGTTTTTAGTTCCAAAATATCTTCCACAAAAAAATGCTCAAGGACAATTGAAAACAAATCTCTGAAAGAAAAATAAACAAATCACAATTGAATGGATTTATTTTTATTTGTGATATATATGAAAATTTTGAAGTTGTTTTGATTTTAGGAATATTTGAACAGGTTGTTAATTTTTATTTGTTATTTATTTTAAAATATTTAAGTTTTTAGTTTAAGATTTAATATTTTGTTAGATATATACAAATTTTATGTATTCCAAACAATATTTATTTTGTGTATATACTTTTTGGGGGTACCAAAATTGTCATTGACAAATTAAATATTTCTCATAGGGGCTTTCGATACAAATGCATTATTAATGTAATGTAAATAAGAAAGGTCTAGTGGTCTAGGTTTTATGTATATTTATATTTAGTGTAAACAAATTAAACTGTGCACAATTAATTATCCTAATGTATCATATAAATCTTAAATAAGCTTTGCTCATGAAGCATATCAAAATTAAGTTATGGTAAAGTATGAAAAAAAAATGAATGTAAAATGATAGATTTTTTTACATTGAGCTAAATTTTCACTTTCTTTATGAACGAATATATTTAATGAAAATTCTTCCAAATCTGTAGTTTTTAAGATTATTAATATTCACATTTCTTCCAAATGTAAAACAAAGTATATATTTATAAAAAAGATTTTTAAAATCTTTAAAATGTTTCTTTTTATTCTGATGTAAAATTAATATATTTATGTGTATAGTGATATATATTTATATATATATATATGTTGCTGAATTAGCATAATATAAATGTATAATGGAATTAGAATGTATTATAGCTGATGTTTTGTTGAAACATTAGATTTAGATATTAATATCCGTCCATTTTTTTCTCTTTTTAAAAGAAATTTATTATATTTAAACCACTGTAAAATAAATTATAATTTTTTAAAATTTATTTCATTTCATTATGTCATTTACTTCATGTTTTTATTTACAATCTATAAATAACGTATTGAGAACACATTTATATTTTTTAGGTTAATTTTTAGAATGGTCATACAGCAAAGATGGCATAAATAAGTATCTATGGCATCAGAAAAAAAAAAACTTTATATAGAACCAACTCCTTCTAAATAATATTTTTTAAATTATTTTAACTACAACCTTAAGTATATCTATGACAACAACTAATCAAAATGATTAGTTGAGTAAATATCATTTTTATATGAAGGTTAACTCTTAAATTGAGTGATGAGACACCAACAATCACAATGGGATGATATACTCAACCTATGAAAAGCCATTTCTCAATATAACTCATAATTAATTATACCATCGTGATTATGAAATTATTTTTTTAATATTATTTCGATTCCATGCATAACAATTCATAGGCTGATTGTTATTTCAAAAGGTTACTGTTGGGTATATCCAAAAGAGTTCTATATTTACCTATAGGCTTCATCGTACTACTGTTTCTGATTTGAGGAAAACTTAAAATAGCCTTAAGATTACATATAAATATGAAATGTTATGACTAACACAAGTTTGAATTAAAGTTTTGATATTTAGAAATTGACATTCAAGAAATTAAGATAATTAACTCGATAAGTACAATTTATTTTCAAACTAAAAGTTGTATTACCCTTACATCACATGTGACAGTGTTTCTCAAGTTTTAATACACCCTGTTGGTCCTTTTTTATGTTGATATTCTGTTATTATTCCTCCTTTCAATCTTATAATCAATTTTACAATTACACGAAACCACCACAACAAGCACCACGAAAATTTTCTATTTTCTCAACATAAGAATTAACTAAATAACTTAAAAAGCTAACATGGCTACTGCATTTATATTTATATTGAAAGAACTAAAGTCACCAAATTGGTTGGTATTCAATTAATACAGCTGTTTGTGCGGAAATGGTAACAAGTTTCCCCGTTATGACAAGTGGTGGGGGCAGATCACAAGATCTAAACGATAACGCTTAATCCGTACGAGCGATGCTTCTCTTGACCTCAGATCAGCACAGATAGTCAATCACATCAGATGCTCCAGATGCTCCGAGGGTGCCCTCAAGGTAATAAAGAGATGTAAGCTGGCATAAAGATGGTAAGCTATTTTTGTACAATCAATATAACCTACCAATCCATTAAAATACAGTCCACTGCATAAAAGTAGAATGTTCAATAAAATTTGAATATTGCCTATTAACAACTCATGAGAGTTATTTGCCTTGCCTTAATTAAAATTTGGAAAGTTGCCTAAACAACAGCAATATAATTCTAGCTCTAGTAATTCCATGTTTGATAATTAATTTATTAAAGAGTATGGCAATTTCAATAATTTATAATAAAACTAGCTGCACAAGGTAGTTTCGTCCATGTTGAATTTGGACTATATATACATGCTTGTTTCATGCAAAAAAAATTACATGACAAAGTACGTCTGATTAACTGAATCAGAATGATATTTTTGAATTTTTTCAGGATAGTCAATGTTCCATAACTTTGAGCAATTAAAATTTGTTTCTTAGTTACTAAATCTGTGCTCCGAAGGTAAATGACACCATGTCAGATTTTTATATCTGTTCAAAGGGAAACTTTTCTATAACTTTGAGCTATTAAAATTTGTTTCTTAGTTACTAAACTATTTAATAAAAGATAGACATAGTGTCCTATCTCCTATCCTATCCTATCTCCAGGGCACAGATATATTTAAAAATAATAACATTAATAAAATTGTTAAAAACTTTAACAGAAGATGCCTTCAGTTCGATAGCTTGATACCAATAATGTTTTTTTACCAATATGGTTTGTTTTAAACTATTTTTAAAAAATTTACTGTACATTCAGTGTATACAATATTTTGAGTATTTTTTCTCTGCACCTTATTTGAAAATCCAATATATTCAACATTGTCCAGCAATCCACTAGGTTTTTTTTTTTTTTCAAATTCAAGATTAAATTTCCATTTTTATTACTACAGTCTGTAATTGTATATATTTCTTGTTGCACATTTAAATTTTACTCAGTTTCATAAGTTTTAATCAAATTAATATTTTAAAAAGTGAGTTCCATCCTCTGTCTATTTTGTCTGTTTAAATTGTAGTGCTCATTTAATGGGAAAATGCTCAGATATGATTAAATAAAATATTATCTAAATAAAAAAGAATGTATAGAAACAATAAAAATTTAATCCTTTTTTTATGTATTACGATTTATCATTAAAAATAATTGAAATTGTCTAAAGACAGAGTATCAATTCTATCTACTATATAGTTTCAGTTACTTTTAACTTGACTAACTGCAGTGGTTAAGAGAATAACTTTTGTCTACTGCTCAGTTGGTTTCTTAATAAAAAGTTTTAATTTTATTCATAAATAAATACAGAAAAGTCACTTTATAAATCTAAGTGATTAATTATATCAGTCATTAGTGTCATTCCCATCCCTGTCCTAACAAATCATAAAAAAAGACAAGAAAATTGTAAAGATTATTAAAAATGCATATAAATTTGTAGACTCAATCAAATTCACAAAGAGGACCGGTATTCTTGCTCCAAGCAATGAAAGAAAGAAATTGGCTTGTCAAAAACAGATCATGGAATAAAAGAAATACAAAAATTAATGTTATCTTTAGAATAAAAAAACATATGGAAAAAAAAATACAAACATTTGAATATAAAAATAATCCTAAGGCTTATCTGATTTTCTTAGTAAAATTGAGGGCAATACACTCAGTAGCTAATGAAATAAGAAAAAAATTAACCCTTGAAGTATGAAAAATGAAGCTTCACTATCGATGCAGTTAAAAGAAAATTCTGCAAACTCTAATTCATAATCAGAAAAAAAACATTGTTTGCTGAAAACATATTGGTCCAATTCTGTAAAAAAAAAGTTTGTTAAGGAAATTTTTGATAAAGAGAATACAGTATTTATGATGGAGTAAACAATGGACAAACTGGATAAGCAGAGCATAAAAAAAAAGTTCAATATTTTAATAACAATATGAGTCAAATATTGATATTTTTTATATGGATTTTATTATGTTCCCATTAAAGAGCTGTTTAATAAGTTTAAATAAAAAAAAATTGGTATGAATAAAATATTGTTCTGAACATTTTTCAAATTTATCCTTTTCCCCATACATTTCTGATAAAATTAATGTTAATTGCTGCATCTATAATTTTAAATCTTATCACTTTGTGTCACAAGGCATAACAAACTTAATGAGGATCTGTCAACATTAAATAATCTAAACTGAAGCTCTTGATAACTAAGAACTGTATTTAGTTTAAGTATTAAAAACAATACGCTTGTAAAAGTAGAATTTTCAAAACTATCATATTAACCTATATAAAATGAACCTTAATTGTTAATGATTAGTTTTGTTATATTTGTGTTACAAACATAACTATTTATAAGTTTATTAAATCACAAATTGTTTTTAATAACCTAATTCAATGGTTGTTATTCTAGTCATATTTATTATTTACCACCAGCAATCCTAACTAAAGAAGTCATTCACCCATAAATAGTCAAGGAAATAAGGCACAATGACTGAATAAACTTGTTAATTACAGTAAAATTTCTGTATTCATTTAAAATTTTAGCCTTATGATTAATTGAATAGTTTATTTTAAATATACATTTGTAATTTTTATAGATTTGGAGCAGATATCCAATGACTGGAGCCAATCAATAATTTGCCCTCTATATATGATAGAACAAAGTGTGAAAATTATAGAGGTATCGCTCTTTTTTCCTGCGCATACAAAGTGCTCTCAAATATACTTTTTGCAAAGCTAGCTCCATTTACAAAAAAATAATTATCAGGCTGGATTTAGAAAAAGAAGACCAACTGGCACAGAAGAAAAAATCGAGAACTTCAGGAACTCTACAACAAGGTGGATGTGGTCAAATACATAAAGATTGGAAGGTTTGCACTGGGCTGGCCATGTTTCTTGAATGAATGATTCCTTAATTCTCAAGCTGCTAATGTTGAAGGAATTGCATAGAACAAGAAGAGTGGAAGACCTAGGGCAAGATGACTGGACGGAGTGCCTGTGGACTCAAAAAATCTCTTACAAATCCAGAACTGGACAGCTGCATCCCAGGACCTTGTCAACTTTTAACAGCTTTTACAGGTTGCCCGACCCAATGATGGGTTTTCGCAGTAGTTTTTGGGTGGGTGTGTACTTTAAGATATTTCATATTACCTACGAAATGAATTATTGCATAAGAATCTTTAAAACGTGTTAAAAATCTGTAAAATTATGAACATTTTTAAGTCTATAGTAACTAATGTTTTGATTATTGAAAAAATAAAGAGCAACTCTACTGATGTGGACCTTTCATAAACACTTCAGAATAATAAAACTTATATTTATTTTATTTTATTAAGAATAATTTAATTAGGAACTGAATTGAACTAATTAAACATTTTTCAAAATTTTAAAAATTATAAAAGATTAACAAATATTTTTAATTACTTTCAATTTTCAAAATCAGTCTATAGATTAATGAGTCACAAAAGTGTATTGTTATCATTGAAGTGAGATAAAGTTGTATTTTCGAGTTTTTAGGTAAAATAATGCAAAGTAAAAATACTTTTCAATAGCATTTACACATATCCTGCTTTTCCTCACCGCATGATCTACCTTCGCGTCAACTCAAATATGCTTAAAAGTTTGTTCCTGTACTTTATTAATAGTTACTAGAATTATATAACATATGCAATATATATTTATGTACATATACACATAAACATTTTTTTAATGATAATTTTTAGCTAATGACATGTACTCTTCAGAAAAAGTTATTTCAATATTTTCTTGGCGACCATTTCGTATTTGTTTTTCAACTGAAAGGATGTTTTGGGAAAAAGTTTCTAGCAGTGATTATTTTGTAATAAAGTTGTTGAATTTTTTTCTATATAGTTTGTTTTTCATTACAAAACATAAGAAGGAAGAAAAGT